CTAGATTCAAGCAATTCTCCTGCCTTAGCCTCCCAAGTAACTGAGATTACGGAAAGCATAAGGTGAGCCTGGGGCATCTTGCAGTCTAAGAAAGTAAGGAAGCACTATAAAAACCAATAGACTGAGTGTCGTGGCTTACATCTGTAATCCCAGCACTTTGGGGGGCTGAGGCAGGTGGATCACCTGAGGTCAGAAGTTCAAGACCAGCCTGGCCAACATGGCAAAACCCCATCTCTACTAAAAATACAAAAATTAGCTGGGCGTGGTGGTGGGTGCCTGTAACCCCAGGTACTTGGGAGGCTGAGGCAGGAGAATCACTTGAACTCCGGAGGTGGAGGTTGCAGTGAGCCTAGATTGCGCCACTGCACTCCAGCCTGAAATGTACCAAGGCTCATACATGCAGAATTGGTATAGATGACCAGTGATGTTAGGAGTCAGAGTTCACCAATTAGATAAAACCAGCTTTCAAATTTGTGTGGCAAAACAGTGTCACCTGCTGAAGGTCCACAGAATGCTTAGCTTCTGCCCTGAAGCACGAGGAGACAAAATAATATGGGCAGGGCAATGACAATCTCTAGAAGGTCACAGTAACTAGCAAATGATGGGAAGGACTTCTTCAGCTCATCAGAGACATTACTGGGCTCTCCTGGAAGGCTTCTGGTAAGCCCAGCCTTGGAGTAGATAAGTTAGAGGGAGGTGATTTCATGAAAGTTGGAAATATCTCCAATTGTGTGAGGCAGTCCCTGCTCCCTCTGGGGAGAGCAGCATCTGGGGAACTGTGCTGGGAAGAGGGAGGAACCTCCTCTTCCATAGTCACTGAGCTAAAGTCAAACTTTTCTCCTCAAGTTGTTGTAATTGGTTCATGAAGAACTGGCCCCTAATGGTTAATTAGTACTAGAGGAAATACCCTTCTGTAGGGAAGAAGGTGGTGGCGCCTCCTGGGAGTCCTCCCTACAGGAAAGGAGGCTCCTGGCACAGGTCTGGTCTCTACTAACTCAGGCCCTGGAAAGCAAGTCAGCAGGCATAAAGCTGGTTTCCTGGCTGCCCCCAGAGGGGCTCTGCCAGCCTGGCACTGTGTCTGCTTCCGGTGGCGAGGGCACTGGAGGCCCCACGTAATGCTGAGCTCTAACTTGGGACCAGTTCATGTCCTGTGAGGAGGCTGCACGTGAACCACAGCCATGGCTGATTCTACATGAGCCCTTTCCTTACTACCCCTACATTGTCTCTGTGTGGTTGGCCCGTGGGAAGTGATGCCAGTGAAGCTGTGGTGGGTGGCCCCGCCCCTGAGGCTCAGGTGGCATTATCCTGCATAACCTCTCACACCATGGCTGGGCCAGCAAAGACAGAGGCCTTTCCTCCTTCTGCTCACACCATGCTGCTGAACTTCCAGGGATTTCTTTTTCCCTTTCAGGCAGGCCTTTCTGTATGGCGAGCAGTGATTTCTCCCGGAGATGAACTGGGGCCATGTTGGAGGGGTGGGACTCCGGGATGGAGGGTCAGTTTCCCTCTAATTTAGCACCCTTTAGTAAGTTCACAGACTTTCCTCTATCCCCATCCTCCACCTCACATCAAACTCTTTATTTATTTATTTTTAGAGACACGGTCTTGCTATGGCTCCCAGGCTGGAGTACAGTACACAATCATAGCTCACTGCAGTCTTGAACTCCTGGTTCAAAAGATCCTCCCTCCTCAGCCTCCTGAGTAGCTGGGATCAGAGACATGAACCACCACACACAATTTTTGTCTAAGGATAGATGAAGAGTGAGACTGGGCAGCAATGCCTGTACCCCAAACTGCAGCTCTTCCCATTCAACCCTGATGCCTTCTTGGGTCCTAGAGTTTAGCTAAATCTTTCCATGTTCTGGAGTAATCTTTTCATGAATTTTAAATTTTTCTGCTCTGATTTTTGGTGTTTAGGAATGCTCACTTACCAGTTTCCCATCAGATTTGCCTACCACATCATCAATTATTTTTCAAAACATGATTATTTAGGAGAACAAAACCTCTGCTGAGCATTGCAGAGGACTTGTCTGTGCATCCGCTATGGCGCTTTCTTCACGAGTGTGTAATGTGAAAATGGGTGAGGCATGTGTGCAGGTCTGCGTAATGCAAGGAAGAATAATATGAGAACAAGGTCGGGCATGGTGGCTCACGTCTGTAATCCCAGCATTTTGGGAGGCTGAGGCGGGCAGATCACCTGAAGTTAGAAGTTTAAGACACCTCTGGCCAACATGGTGAAACCCTGTCTCTATTAAAAATACAAAAATTAGCTGGGCCTGGTGGTATGTGCCTGTAGTCCCAGCTACTCACGAGGCTGAGGCATGAGAATTGCTTGAGCTCGGGAGGTGAAGGTTACAGTGAGCCAAGATTGCACTACTGCTCTCCAGCCTGGGCTACAGAGTGAGACTCTGTCCCACAAGTAATAATAATAGGCTGGGCACAGTGGCTCATGCCTGTAATCCTAGCACTTTGGGAGGCTGAGGCGGGCAGATCGCGAGGTCAGAAGATCGAGACCCTCCTGGCCAACATGGTGAAACCCCGTCTCTACTAAAATACAAAAAAATCAACCAGGTGTCATTGCACAGGCCTGTAATCCCAGCTACTTGGTAGGCTGAGGCAGGGGAATCTCTTGAAACCGGGAGGCAGAGGTTGCAGTGAGCCGAGATTGCGCCACTGTACTCCAGCCTGGCGACAGAGTGAGATACGGTCTCAATAAATAAATAAAATAATAATAATAGTAATATGAGACCAAAACAAGTTCTACCCCCCAAGACACCAACACTTTGTCAATGTTATTATCTCTCAAACACTTGCACTGACCTGAAACAAAGCTGACAGTTCAGAAAAATACATTCCGTCCATCACCTGTAGGCATATTTCCCTGGCACCAAGTGCATTCTTGTGGGAGTTCACATACTCCAGTGTGAGAAGCACTGTGGTGTGTGCTTGATGCATGTCTGTGGAATGGGATTTGTAAAGGAGTTGAAGGAAATGCACAGTTATTCAAGTTCTGAAAATCAGGGGAGTCTTTTAACAGAAAAT